ATTTCAATGTCTAGGTGCCAAGGGTTGTTGCCACGGGAAAATCACCAGAAAACACGCGTCGTGTATCAAGGTCAATTTACGCACCAAAAAATTCACCAAGTTGTTGCCACCAAAAAATCACCATGAAACCCGAGGAGTGTTAACGCTACCATGATCATTCCAATATATATACGTGTGTATACACAACCTGCTTGCTAGTTCAAGAGTTTCCTAATGTCAGAGGTTTCCAGGGAAGGCCCAGGACTCCATAACTATGATGTTTGGTGGTTTTATGGTATGTTACATTTCTATGGATGCAACGTTGTGTAGATATATGTGTTCATGTGCGTTTTATTTTTCATGCATTAGTGTGTGAAGTCATGCGAGATGTATTACCTAGTTTGCCACTGAAATGTGACATCATGTTTATGATTACATGCATGTTTATAAGTGCATGCATGTTTATAATTACATCATGTCCACATCTCAACTGTCACTTCCTCATGAACAAACTGTCACTTCCAATGGCTGTGGATTCCTTTCCTTCTCTCTCTCTCTCTCTCTCCTCCCTCTTTCTCTCTGTGGTTGCAAGACACGTGTCATCTGATGCCCTTTACCAAGTATCCTCTTCTTAATCAATCTTACTTTTTCACACCATATCCTTCCATAGCTCATATAAAATTCACCAACTATTCACCGACTATCTTTTACGACTACCATCCTCAGAGCTGCTTGAAAAACATCTTTTTCGCTCTCGGGCCAACCGTCGTCTAGTTTTTTTGCCGCAGTGTCACGGTGGCTTGAAGCTGCTTTGGGTGTGCTTGTGCGTGCGTAGTTATAGGGTGTTTTGGAATCTCGGGTTGCAGATCGCATTGGAATGGCTGCATGACTCTTGTCATCTGTGGTTCTGGTGTTGTTCTGTGCGTAGATAGGTGCAAGTTTGCGAGTTGATGCTGCGAACCGCATTGTAATGGCTGCATGATGTTGCATGGGCTATGTTTTGGGGAGGAAGCCGGAGCACGAAACCTTGTGTTTTTCCGTGAAAAGTGGCTGCAGGCGACGATGAAAGGTGTGTGCGACGGTTGCGGCTGCGGTCGGTTTGTCGTTTTTTTTTGCCGCAGTGTCATGGTGGCTTGAAGCTGCTTTGGGTGTGCTTGTGTGTGTGCGTAGTTGTAGGGTGTTTTGGAATCTCCGGTTGCAGATCGCATTGGAATGGCTGCGTCAAGGTTGCTTGGTGCCGCGGCTGCACGCGTAATACTTTTCTCTTTTGCAGCTGAAGATTCCAGATCGTATTGGAGTGGCTGCATCCAGGCTGCGACAGTGATTTGTCAGAAGATTGTCTCAATTTTGGCGCTAGTAAGTTTCCTTTTAAAAATCGTTTAAAGAAGTGCTTCAAAATCGTCTTTTTTTCGCTTTGGCGTCGAGATCCCGGTTTTGGAGCTGTAGTTTCCGACGTCGTTGCGCATAGTTCTATTATGTTCTATTGTGATTTGCAACTCATGTGCCGCGGCTGCATACGTAATACTTATTGTCTTTTGCAGCTGGATCTCGTAAATCGTATTGGAGTGGCTGCATCCAGGCTGCGACAGTGATTTGTCAGCAGATTTTCGCAGTTTTGATGCTAGTAATTTTCCTTTTAAAACTATTTTTTAAAAGTGCTTCAAAATCGTCTTTTTGTCGCTGTGGCGTCGAGATCATCCGGTTTTTGGAGCTGCAATTTCCGACGCCGTTGCGCGTAGTTTTTGTAACTCAGTCTCTGCAGATCGCATTGTAATGGCTGCGTAAGGTTACTTGGTCACAGAATTACTGGGAAGTAGTTTGTGCAAGCTTTGTAGTACACAGTAGTATTGGGAAGTGCTTTGTGCAAGCTTTGCAGTACAAAATAGTACTGGGAAGTGTTTGTGCAAGCTTTGTAGTACAAAGTAGTGCTGGAACGTATTTTGTGCAAGCTTTGTAGTACAAAGTAGTACTGGGAAGTAGTTTGTGCAAGCTTTTGTAGTACACAGTAGTACTGGTGCTTTGTGCAAGCTTTGTAGTACAAAGTATTACTGGGAAGTGTTTTGTGCAAGCTTTGTAGCACAAAGTAGTACTGGGAAATAGTTTGTGCAAGCTTTGTAGTGCAAAGTAGTACTGGGAAGTGCTTTGTGCAAGCTTTGTAGTACAAAGTAGTACTGGGAAGTGTTTTTTGCAAGCTTTGTAGTACAAAGTCGTACTGGAACGTGTTTTGTGCAAGCTTTGTAGTACAAAGTAGTACTAGGAAGTGCTTTGTGCAAGCTTTGTAGTACAAAGTAGTACTGGGAAGTGCTTTGTGCAAGCTTTGTAGTACAAAGTATTACTGGGAAGTGTTTTGTGCAAGCTTTGTAGTACAAAGTAGTACTGGAACGTGTTTTGTGCAAGCTTGGTAGTACAAAGTAGTACTGGGAACTAGTTTGTGCAAGCTTTGTAGTACAAAGTATGACTGGAAAGTGCTTTTTGCAAGCTTTTGTAGTAGACATCAGTACTGGGAAGTACTTGACATGAAAATAGCCAAGACAAACTTAGCTGACATATGGGAAGACATGGAATGAGATGAGAAGAGCTCAGGTGAGATGAGTTGAGATGAAGTGCAAGTGTGAAGTGTGGAGTGTGGGGTGTGAAGAGTGCAATGTGAAGTGTGAGGAAAGTGTTTGCATTGTACCGGGGTCACGCGCAGGTCATGTTCTTGGACAGCAACACTGCAACAGCTTCGCACAAAGCACGCACGCACGGGCCTGGCTGGCGCACGGCGCATGCAAGTTCCTTAGTCGTACTGGGAAGTGATTTATGAAAGCTTAGATGACATATGAGAAGAGATGAGATGAGAAGAGATGAGCTGGGATGAGGTGAGAAGAGCTCAGATGAGATGAAGGGTGCAGTGTGAAGTGTGGGGCAAGAAGAGTGCAGTGTGAAGTGTGGAGTGTGAAGTGTGAAGTGTGGAGTGTGAAGTGTGAAGTGTGGACTGTGAAGTGTGAAGTGTGGACTGTGAAGTGTGAAGTGTGGAGTGTGAAGTGTGAAGTGTGGAGTGTGCAGTGGGAAGCGTGCAGTGTGAAGTGTAGAGTGTGAAGAGTGTGAAGAGTGTGAAGAGTGTGAAGAGTGTGAAGAGTGTGTGAAGAGTGTGAAGAGTGTGTGAAGAGTGTGAAGAGTGTGAAGAGTGTGAAGAGTGCAGTGAGAAGTGTGAAGTGCGAAGTGGAGCTTCAAATGTGACATGTGAAACAGGACACCACTTTCGCAGAGTGCACGCACGCACGGGCTTGGCTGGCGCACGGCGCATGCAAGTTCTATGGATGAGAAAGGTCTTATATATATCTTTAAGGCAACTTCCGCCCCGCCTCGTGCGGGTAGTACTGGTACTTATGCATTATATTTGCTAGCATTGATGGAGAGAAAGAAGGGGATATTGTAGGTGGCGAAGCTACTAGTAAGTGGGATGAAAGTCTAAGTAAGTGGGATGGTAGTCATTTAGATACATATTTTGTGGCTATTTATTTGCGCATATCCAACAACAACAACAAAAGCAACAACAGCCATAACAACAATAAACACAATAACAACAACGATCACAACAGCAAGCATTTTCAACAACAACCATCACAACAACAACCATCACAACAACAACCATCACAACAACAACCATCACAACAACAACCATCACAACAACAACCATAACAACAACCATAACAACAACAACAACAACAGCAACAACAACAACAACAACCATCACAACAACAACCATCGCAACAACAACAACAACAACGACAACAACAACGACAACAACAACAACAATAACAACAATCACAACAACAACCATCGCAACAACAAACATCGCAACAACAAACATAATAAAGAAACAACAACAAACATTACAAACATAGACAGCACAAAAACAAACATAACAGCAACAAACGTAACAACAACAAATGCGACAACATAGAAGGTTCCAGCTCCCAAATTCTACAAATAGCACGCAAACTGAAAGGTTCCTGCGCGCAAATGCGGCAAATAGCATGATAAATAGAAGGTTCCTGCGCCCAAATGTGGCAAATAGCATGCAAAATAAAAAGTTCCAGCGCCAAAATGCTGCAAATAGCATGCAGCATGGAAGGTTCAGCTCCAAAATGCTGCAAATAACACGCAAAATGAAAGGTTCCAGCTCCAAAATGCTGCAAATAGCATGCAGCATGGAAGGGAAATGGCAGGATAGATGCAGGGGACGGAAAACAGAACAGATCAGGAAAAAAAAACCCATGGGCAGGGGAAAAAAAAACCGGCGAGATTCGGCACCTGTTGTGAAGGACAGCCAGAAGATCAGCTCCGGGTTATGGTGGATTTGCTTGGGGATGTGTCGGAACGAGCTGTCACTGTGGAGGAGGTCACGGCCTCGCATGCGCACGCGCATGTCGGTCTCGCGTGCGCACGCGCATGCTGGTCTCGTGTGTGCACGCGCAGTACTTGCACGCCTATTTTTTCTTGCGCCGGTCCACGAAATGACGCCTCCGCGTCTACCTACGGGCATTGTCCCGGGTTCTTTTGGAGGCTCGCCTGTGCACGCTGTCGCCTGTCTGGGAGCTTGCAGATGTAACAAATCAGGCTCGTCTGTGCATGCACTCGGCTTGTCTCTAGATGCTTTGGCCTTCCCCAGCTGTTCTGCTCCGCATTCGATTGCCTGTGCATCGTTCTCTCTGTGCATCGTTCTCTCTCTCTGATGCCCTCCTCGTTCAAAACGGACCTCTTCACTCTGGCTGTGCTCCGCCCAATGGGGCTCTTTGTCTGCTTGGCTGTGCTCCGTTGTTCTCCGTCTGGTTCCTTGTTTTGCTTACTGAGCGGCCCGAATCCTTCGAAACAGACGTGTAGTGCACCAAGATGCCATTTTGGCTCAAGGTGACAGCTAGGTGTTGCACATGATGTGCATGGTTGACCGGTTGCAAGTGTGCACCGCGTCTATTTAGCTGCAACCTTGTGTTTTTCGCGCGTTCTATTCTATTTTCTTTTTGCTGTGTGGCAGGATGTCTGTCACGGATGCATCCTTTGAGCAATCATGTGGTCATATTGGTACCACCGCCAAAGAGCAGTGGATGCAGTTGCCATCAGCCTTACGGCGCGATCTGGGTAGCGAATTTTGCCTGCCTGACCCTGAGTTCCTGTACAATGTTTGCCTGGATGACTTGGACCGACATTCCCTCGTATCCCACTATGCATCGGATGCTGCCGAACTTGAATTTTTCACATCAATCTTGAAGACTTTGCAGGTTCAGTCTTCTGCTGCTGCTAGCTTGTGTCGAAAGCGGCGTGCTGCAGTGCACCCTTCTTTGCAATGGCTTGCTGTTTGTAAACAGCCGCGCATGGTCGAAACTGTCGTGCCGCCAGTAGATTCCTTGGAGTGGCTTTGTCATCATTCTGGTGCTCACAAGCGTGCTCGGATTCGTGTGCCCAAAAATTGCCCTAACAGCCGAGCAGATGCTGAGTTGTCTTCTCAGCTGCGTTGGCAGCGCAAGTTGGCTACTATTTTGATAGATTCTTGCGCGCCTGCTTTATCCGGAGCGACTGGGCAGACTGGTGAGCTGCGAGCTTTGCGTTTGGCTGGCAACACCCGCAGCAGCACCTTAAAGAAGCATATCCAGATGTGGCACCGATATAGCAAGTGGCTGCATGCAGCCTACCAGCTGCAGTGGCCGACCACTTGTGACATGGTACTTGACTTTCTTGAGGAACTTGCTGCTCAGCCGTGTGGCAAAACTGTTCCGGAAGCATTTTGCGCCACGCTGCAATTCATGGAAAGAGTGGCTGGTATCGCCTTGGAATTTCGTTTAGGGAAGCAAACGGCAGTCCTGCGTACAGTTGAGCAATTGTCCGCGCAGTTGGAAACCGGTGCGCCCCCATCTAGGAAGGCCAGACCACAACCTTTGATTCTAATCCTGGCTTTGGAACTCTGGGTTATGAACATCAGCGCTGCTCGCTACACACGTGCTTTTGCATGGGCAAAGCTTGTTAAATTTTGGTCTTCTTCTCGCAGCGACGATTTGTTGGGTCTGGTCCCGCAGTGCCTTCACTTTAGCGGCCGGGGGTTGTGTGGCTTACTACAGCGTACAAAAACAAGCGGGCCTGGAAAAAAGGTAAAGTGGCTTCCGATTTTTGTTGATCGCGATGCTTCTTTTGCAGGTGTTCCTTGGTTGGAAACTGGCTTTGCTCTTTGGCAGGAGGAAGGCATGTGCTTCGAACGAGACTATTTGGTGCCTTTGCCGACCAAAAATCGCGAATCCTGTGTCCAATTTATGGCTGACTATACGGCAATGTGTGCTTTGTCCAAAGAACTCTATTGCTTACTGCGCCGTCCCGTTTTTCAGTGGCAGCAGTGGAGCTTGACAGATGAGCCTCTTTTGATCGCCCCATCTGCTTGTCGGGCATGGACAGAACATAGCGAGCGTTGCTGGTTAGCCAGCGTGGCTGCTGTATTAGACATAGGGCGCGAGCGGCGTGAAGTTCTGGGCCGCTGGCGTGTAGCCTCCTGTTCTGATGAATACATCCGGACTGCGCAACGTGTGGTCAGCCAAGTTCAGCGTGCAATAGTTGGGGGGGTCCTCAATGACACGGAATGGCAGCTGCAAGAAATTGGCATTAAAGATTTGGAGATACATTTGAGACAGGCAGGTGAGTCTGATTCATTGATTTACAATCAACTTTGTGCATTCGACTTGAGCTTAGCGGGTTGGTGTGGCCCTGTTCGACCCATTGCCGCGCATGCTGCGCCCGATTCGCCAAAGCCTATGGAGAATGCGTGCAATGTAGCTGAAGTATCCGCAGTAGCAGTAGGTAGCACTGAAGATATTTCACCCGCCGAACCAGTTTTGCCTCGAGGGGTCGTAGCTGCTGAGGGCCCCAACCAAGAAACCTTCCGGTACTTTATTTGTATCACAAAAAACCGGCGCTTGCGTAGGCTTCATCGTTGGGATGGCTGTGGCACCAAGCCAGCGTCATGTTCAGTACAGGTTGAAGGTATTGATTGTCTTGACGGCGTCCAGTATGATGCAGCTTGCAAACATTGCTGGCCCCGTGGACAGAAGCCAGGTGTTGAGTCAGACGAGGATGACTCAGGCTCTTCGTCAGACAGCACAGATGGCAGCCTAGCATCTGGTGATTAATATGTGTTTTAGTGGCCAAGTCCGCTAGGTGTACACACGTGCTTGCTGAAAGGGGACCAATGTTTGGCCCTTTGCCATTGCTCGTAGCTAACGCAAAGTGGATTGTGTTAGGACTTTGAGCAAGATTGGCAATGGTTTTCATCTCATGCTTGAGATTTCTCTGAAGTTGGCCAGAGCTGCTTTCTAATTCTGGTTGCTAACACAATGGTGGTTGTGTTATGGCTTCATCTCATGCTAGAGATTCCTTTCATGTTGAGTTGGGATATGTTCATCCGCCAACTTTGATTTCTACACTTGATCGCATGTGTTTGTTCCGGCCGGGGCACGTTCTTTAGCGCGGCATGCTGCATGCGCTATGTTTGCTTGGCCAGCTTGTGATCATTGTGTATGTTCTTCAATTACGTCAATTGAGCTTGTCAACTGTTGACATCATGCCTTTGATTTCTTTATCTGATGAAGAGCGCTCAGCAGCGTTGAAGGCTGCATCACCTGACTTGAAGTACCACTTGTCTGAGGTGAAAGTCCCTGTGGAGGTGCAAGCCGCTTTGTTCCACAAAGGCTTTGTGGATTTGCAGCTTTTTGCCGGGCTGGATGAATCCCGCTTGGAAGTGCGCAATGCTCTTGCTGTTGAAATTGGCTTAAAGCACGACGAGTGCACCGATGCCCGCCAAAATGTTGCCCGGCTATTATCTGCATGGGAATCTTCTCGTGCGCAGCTGGTGGCTGAGGACAAGATGAAGGCTGAAAGCAAGCTCGGCCAAACGCCTCGGATTGTGCAGTGCTCCGAGATGGCAGCTTTGCGCAAAGCGGTGGAGGCTGATCTTGGCAAGTTACAGGACGATGAGGTCCCTGCCAAGTCTCTGATTGCCACCAAGTTGGAACAGATTGAATCTGGCGACCTACGTGCCGAAGACTTACGTGAGGTCCTTTGCGTGGAAGACACAGATGTTGATCTCTTTAGTGGCATCATTGAGCATGGCACCGGCAATCTCAAGATCAAGCCGGGGAAGGCGAGCATTGCTATGCCATCAACTCCAGAAGAGTTGAGGCTACGACATCGCCGCATTGGCATTGCATGGCTGATGGTGGGTTCCAAGCACAAGAACCAATCCTGGATCACGCCTGCCTTGTTGGAAGCGTTTCGCCGTTTTTCTGACCATATTGTGGGCAGGCACATTGCAGGTTTTCCGATCATGGCCCAGGGAGTGACAAGGCACCCAGCTTGGAATTTGGTGTTATCTTATGAGCTAGAAGTACGCAAAAGGGCTTACAAGCAGCTGCGCGATGGCAAGCATTCATCTTTGCAAGAAGCTTTGGAAGATGCGTGGAATTCTGCTGAGCTGATCAACAAGCATTTTTTGGTTCCTCTGACTGCATCTGCTGACTTCTTCAGCACGGCCAGTCACGGTGAGGTGTTTACTGCCCATGGCAAAGGTAGTGGCAAGCATGGGAAAGGCAAAGGCAAGGGCAAAGACAGGCGTTTGGTCTCCAAGCAGTTCCTCAAATCTAGATCGGAAGAGGGTAAAAGGCTTTGCTTCAGATTCAACAATGGCACATGCAAGGAAAAACATTGCTCTTTTCACCATGCTTGCCAAATCTGCCTTGGAGAAGGCCATGGGAAGAAAGATTGCCCGAGTCATCCAAAGAGCATGTTGCAGTCACCAGCTTGAACGGCTGCAGGGGCCCAACCGGCTGATGGGCCCCGCCAGGAATCAATTTTGTCAGCCGAAAAAGTCAGTGCCGCGCTTCCCTCGCCTGCGGTGGGGCATTCATGTTCGGGACAGCGCGTCAGCTCTAGTGTTGATACAGATTTGCTTGATGGTGAAGAAGAGACAGCATGGTTTCATCAAGCAGTCGGTGGCTGCGGACCTCCTTTGAAGTCACACATGATGGGTAAAAGCAAACCATTTGTTGACGGTAGTGGTTTGTGCTCGCCCGGACGGTGGAGCCCATGCGCTCGTCATGTGAAGCCGATAGGTGCGCAATGCTTTGCAGGTCTGCAGACAGTGTTGGACAAGCACACGGACGGGCGTAGACTTCTTTTTGAGTTGGCTTGCAAAAAAACATGTGGACCAGCCTTTCCCTGCAGCACTGGTGAAAGAAGCTAGGGAGGCTGTCAAAGGCATTCTGAGAAAACATGGTGCGCAGCTTGATTTAGATGCAATTCCAGAGCGACAGCCTTTCCATCTTGCTTTGCTTGAAGAGTTTCTGCGTCTCTGCAACGATCCTGATGCTTCAGCGTATTTTTCAGGCAAGGATTCATTTGCTGCGGGCGTGTCTTTAGGTGTGAATCAGAAGATGCCGCGAACTCCAGCTGTTTTCGAGAAAAAATGCTAATGGCGTGCCTATGACGGGGAAACTACAGCAGCGGATGTTTTCCGGAACAACTATCCTGGCGCGGCAGAAAATGCAAAGGCGATTGAAGCACAATTCGTAGAAGAAGCCAAGTTAGGTGCGATGGTGAAGATGGAAGTTGAGGAGGCGTCAAGGATCTATGGTGAAAATTTGAGGGTAGCTTCGCTTGGTGCAATCCGGAAAGCTGATGACAGCTTCCGTGTAGTCCATGATGGAGCACACGGCATAGGGGTCAATGGTAATATCAAGGTGCGTGACCAGATTGCATGCCCAAGTGCAGGTGATTTGCGGCAGGTGCTACAGGTGCTGGAGAAGCCGACTTTTGTTTTGACAGCAGACATCAAGCGCGCGCACAGGCTTGTGAAGATCAAGCCAGAAGACTGGGGGCTGCAAGCATGTAGGACAGACGAATCTTCTTCATTTGTCTGGCTGAATACTGTAGGCACTTTTGGCGTTGCGTCAGCTGCAGTACATTGGTCGCATCTTTTCAGTGGAATACAGCGGGCGGTGTGCTATTTAACTGGTACTTTGAAGCTGTTTCTCCTCACCTATGTTGATGACTTGCTGTTCATTACACAAGGGAAAGCTGCAACGGATGCAATTGTAGTTGCTCTTCTGTTTATGGTAGTCTTGGGCGTTCCCCTCAGCTGGCATAAGTGCAAGGGGGGCACACAGGTCGAATGGGTAGGCTACTACGTGGATCTGGAACAGAAGTCTGTTGGTATTAGTGAAAAACGTGCAGATTGGATTTGCAACTGGGTTGAGACAACTGTGGCAGCAGGCGTGGTGAAATTGCATGACTTTTCTGCAGTGCTAGGTCGGCTTTCTTTTGCAATGGCGGCAATTGAGCACCTCAGGCCTTTTCTGGGGCCACTGTACGCATGGTCTGCAGCCCTGGAAAACGTGGTTCATGCTCGCTTGCCTAAAGCTGTTATCTACATCTTGCGTTTCATTGAACATATGCTGAAACATGGATGGCGTACTCGCCCAGTGGGACCTCTGCAAGAAGCTCGTAGGGAATTATTCAGGGCAGATGCAAAAGCCGAAGGTGAAGTGATTTGCATCGGTGGCTGGGCAGTTGAGGACGGTCCGGATACAAAATCATGTAGATGGTTCAGTGAAAGGTTGACGCGGTCAAATGCACCTTGGGCTTTCTTGGCTGGGGAATCTTTCCGAGCCATTGCATCACTGGAATTGTTTGCCACCTTAGTGAGCCTGGTCCTCTTCAAGCCTGCGTGCTACAAAGGTTCAATGAAAATTTCAGCTGGAACTGATAACTTGGGAAATACACATCTCATCGCTCGGTTGATGAGCACCAAATTCCCATTGTGCGCTATTTTGATGGAAGTGGCGGCAGTTCTCATGGACGGCAATCATGATCTGCAGTTGGAATGGCTTCCTCGTCTCCAAAACCAGGAGGCAGACAATCTCACAAATGAGATTTTTCACGGTTTCAGTGAGGATCGCAGGCTGCGATTTCGTATGGAGGAGTATGAAGGTTTAGTCTTACAGGCAATGTTGAATTTGTGCATGGAATTGTACGAGGACGTGCGGAAAGCACGTGACCGCAAGGTGAGCCAGACCAAGCGGGTGAAGACTGGCGAGCCTCTGCGTGTGAGAGACCCTTGGGGCTGAGAGTTGATAGGTAGAAACCTGCTTGCCGAGTCAAGCGATTCAACCGTACCATAATATATTATTTGAGGCATGGGTCGCCTGCGGTTGGGAGTTAGGTGAGCGCCCATGCTGGGTTGCTTTGCACATCTGTAGGACATGTGTTTTGTCCTACATGGTCTATTTTGCCTCTGGCCATGTCTTGGCTATATGACATATGGTATGTCTTATGGTATATTAATTCCCACACCGCTAGAAAAAAGAAGGGCGAGTCATTGTGCGTGTCATCTAAGGCTAGGGTTGGCTGGGCGGTAGTTCTAACTAGAGTAGAAGTCCCGTGTAGTGCACCAAGATGCATCGAAAGGGGACTGGCGCGATAGTTGAAACTTTTCTTCTTGTTTGTTTGTCCTGGTTTTAAGTTGATTGGTTCTACATTGCTCCAGGTGACAGCTAGGTGTTGCACATGATGTGCATGGTTGACCGGTTGCAAGTGTGCACCGCGTCTATTTAGCTGCAACCTTGTGTTTTTCGCGCCCCGCCCTCTGCCACCCTACGGCGCGTGAGTTAGGTGAGCGCCCATGCTGGGTTGCTTTGCACATCTGTAGGACATGTGTTTTGTCCTACATGGTCTATTTTGCCTCTGGCCATGTCTTGGCTATATGACATATGGTATGTCTTATGGTATATTAATTCCCACACCGCTAGAAAAAAGAAGGGCGAGTCATTGTGCGTGTCATCTAAGGCTAGGGTTGGCTGGGCGGTAGTTCTAACTAGAGTAGAAGTCCCCTCCCCAGCTCTACTTTTGGGTGCTTACCGGTTTCAATCTTCCAAAGTGGACCTTTCAAGTGGTTCTGCGTCTGGCTTGCTTGCTTCTGTTTCTATCTGTCTGCCACACAAAACGATAGCAGAGCGTCCAAAAGTGGTCCGAACGCGTGGTGCTTTTTAACATGTACACTTCCACATGTGCTTCCCGGCACAGCAGCGTGCATTTTTTTCGACATTGGTGTGTGACAAAAATGTGTGTGTGTGAAATATGGTGTGTGACGAAGAGGTGTGATAAAGAGGTGTGTGAAAGATGGAGTTGAAAGATGGTGTGTGACAAAGTTGTGTGTGAAAGATGATGTGTGTCAAAGAGGTATGTGAAAGATGGTGTGTGACAAAGTTGTGTGTGACAAATTTGTGTGTGAAAGATGGTTTTACCGCGCCACTTTGTCACACACATACACATACATACATACATACATACATACATACATACATACATACATACATACATACGTACATACATACATACATACATACATATACGTACATGCATACTATCTTTTCACATACTTACACTTACACACAGTCTTTCACCACGATCCTACTCACAGGAGACTATTGCTTCTTCACCTTGCTTCTTCCAGAGTTTGTCATATTGATTGGAGTCTTGTTGAGAAGCTTGATCCACATGCTGTTGTTAGGATTGCGTTGTTGCTGAAGCATGTCAAAATTCCACACCGTCGATTGAAGGCAAAAAAACGGTTGGATCCTTGGTTAGTGGCCCGCGGCTACTTTGATACCAAAGTTCGGCTGACTGAAGTTACAAACCAGCCGGCGGCCGACTATGCCAAGCATGTCTTGTCCATTTGCATGAAATCAATTTTGGTTGTTCCGATTGCTTGTGTTAGGCTTTGGACTTTTTCTAGATTCAAAATTGTTGTGAAGAAACCACGTACTTTCATGGATTCTTGGAAGCATACCACGGTTGCTAAAGAGCACGTTCCGACCATGGAGTTGCATGATGTTTGTTTCCTTGGGCCGTCAGTGCGGCAAATTGAGAAAGACTGGAAAATTGAAGTTCGACCGGCTTGCTTAGATGATGAGCTGCGAAGTTGTATTGACGCAGTCCTCCTGCATTTTGGTGATGTTCCTGCGGCGTGTGTGCAATCTTTGTCGCGGTTTTTGCTTGGTGCTGCTCCTGTTCCTGGTTCTGTAAAGCAGCGATGGGCCTATATCAATGACACGGTTGACTTGTACGAGGCGTACAGTGCTGATTTTCATTTTGGCCCACTAGAAGTCGTTATCCCTGATGATAAGGCAAAAAAATCAGGCTGGATCATGCCAAGATGGGCTTATATTCAATTGCTTTGTACCTTTTGCATGTTGGCGCATACATGGACTTTGTTGACTGTGGACGTTGAGGCAGCCAATGCGGCGCTGTGCAGGAAACTTTTGGAAATTTTGGGTGATGATCTGTTCAAAAGAGTTGGTTTATCAATGCAATTTTTACTGGTGCCATATGTGTACGGAACTATGAAGAGTAAGTGCTGGAATGCTGGTGTCAAGATTTGTCAGAAGAGTGGGCATTCTTGTATCCGGAAGATTGTCTCCTACTTTGCGTGGCCTAAAAAACATGTTTGGAGATCGGCGCATCGAGCTTTAGAAACTATTGCGAAACAGTTTGGTGATACAAGATGAGATACCTGGTCACTTGCGGATGCTTCAGAACGACTGAGGCAAGGAATGCACAGTTTGACAAGTTCAAGTGGAACATGTTACAGATGTGGCCATGAATTTTCAGGATGTGCAGGGCTGGTTGCAGATGCGGGGCAATGCTTTGAAATGATCCAAGCCCAGGAGGCAGTGAGTGAGGCCCACGTGTTGCTGCGCAGATTTCAGACCATATCTCAGTCAAGCTATGTTACGATCCAACGGTCTAAGAAACGGGTTGGCTGGGTCGGCCGCAGCAATCCGCACAATCCAAGAAAGAACCAAACTTGGGATGTTGCAGAGTTGTATCGGCTTTTTGCCGCGGCTATGTCTGTTGATTTCGCCAGTGTTTGTCAGCGTGTGTTTCGTACAAAAGGTGTTCCCATCGGTGGCCTCATGTCCAAAATTGCTGCCACCATTGTTCTTGGAGCTCAAGAGCGTCGATGGCTCTATAACCATGAAAAAAGGGCCTCGCATGGTTTCGCTCCCGGATTTCCATGGCATCATGCTGTTTGTCACTTGCCCTTCATCGATGATGTAATTTTGCTTAGCAGATGCTATTGTCGTTCTTGTTTAGCATGTCTTTTGGATCTTGTGTATACTGTGCCTTTTGATTGCCTTCCGGAAGTAGATATGCAGCTGGCTTGGTTGGATATGCGTGTTGATTTGGCTTCATGGACTCTAGGGCTCAATGTTAAAGTTCGCAGGCTGCCCCGTGAGTGGGGGTCACATCCTTCATATGTGAAGAGTCTGCTTTGTTGCACTTTTCGGCGTTGGCTTGATATCCGGCCTCCAGTGCTACAATGGCAGCGTGCCTGTTTGTCCCTCCTTGTGGATTTCCGGCGGTCTGGGTGGTCCAGTAGAGGCATCACGAGATCTTTGTTTTTGATTGGAAATAAGGAATTTGAACAATTCATATTGTTTTGCCGCATTGCTTGGAAAGAGATTTGCCAGTGACCTTGCTTTTCGCTTTCCTGTAGTTGCTTTGGCTTCTGTGCTGTAGAGAGTGTGGACCGGTGTCAACTATGGGCAGCCTTGGTGTTATCATAGTGCTTGCGTGTTCTACCAGTGCATGGGCAGGATGGAATGACAGCAAGGGTGCTGGGAACAGATATGGGCAATGGTACCGGGGCAAGCCTTATTACCAGCACCGTTATGGTGGCAAGGGTGGCTCCATGCATGACGGAAATTCTATGAATGATTCCATGGCTATGTTGGCACAGTTTCTGGAGAAAAAATCCAAGTCACGGAAGAGCCGTCGTGACAAATCTTCTTCCAGGTCACGGTCCAGTTCGGCGCGTGACAAACGTGGGAAGCGCCGCGCACATTCTGCAAGCCGTGAGTTGAGAGAACTGCGCAGATACAGAGAGGAAGCTGAAGCAAGCAAAAAAGCGGCTGAAGAGAAACTACTTCGTGAACGAGAACTCCAGGACCTCGAAGCACGGATCCTGAAGAAGGTTACTTACCATCAGCCAGCCCCGAAAAAACCATCAGGTGTGTCTGCTTCGAGCCGTGGGCCAGAAAATGGTGAACGCAGTGTAGAGTATGAACTTCAGCCTTTGGCCTTGAAAGCCATTGATTGGATCATGGAGAAAAGCATTGATGTCTCAGAGGAAAAGACCTGGCAAGGAATTGAAGAGCAACTGTCTTCCTTGGACAATGGCACCCTCAAGGATTTCTTTGCAAAGCACATTTCGGAGTCGAACATTCCAAGATCCAAAGCGCAGAAGGTCTCCCAGTTTTTGGAGTTTCTGATGGCCGAAGTCCACTGAATCTCGCCTTGCCGGGCTGTACGCATGGGCAATTTTTTCTCTTTCTTCCTGGTTCTTGCACTGGGCTTTGCATGTGGCATGCTAGCTGCCCCGTCTTGCAATTCCTGGGGGCCTTTTGCCTATGTGTCAGCCGTGAAAGTCCTGGTGTGGGACTACTCTTCCATCACTTTGGCCTTCCAATACTGGACAGGTACACCTTTGTATACAACGCTTTGTGCCAGCATAGCGGTGGTTGCCGGCTGTGTGATCAAGCTTGTCTGGTATTCTGTGCTCAGCGATGGAAGCCTAGTTCCAGCCCAGAGGCAGGAACGGGGTATGGCAATTCGAAATGGTGGAGTCAGAGTGTTGCTTGGTGATGTTTCGCACGAAGCTGAGTTTGCGCCACAATGCCTGCTAAAGTGCTGGCATCAAATTCAGCATAATTAATACCACCCACTCACTGCGCAATTACTTTGGGAGGGTTCAATGTGTGACTCCGCGCTTTTGAATCCGTGTCGTACCATATTTTAATTTCCATGCATCCATATATCCGTAGTTGAGGCTTAGGTCGACGCTCCAGCCGCGAAAGCGGCGCACACTAGTGGGTCTCAACAAAACGATGTGCCGCTGCCATGGTTTTTGATTTTGCATTTTTTTGATTTTGCATTTTAGTATGTGTGTACATGAGTTCCTTATGGAGTGGATGGAAAAATTCAAAGTTGAGTTGTTGTAGTGTGCCAGCAATGTTGACTGCTGCTTTGGGAATTGAGGAGATGAGGGGTCGACGGGGTCTGGAAA